TCGTCGATGCCGAGCTTCTCGAGGTGATCCGATCTCGATTTGAAAACCCAATGGTGTCAGCGCTTCTCACCGACGAAGTTGTCAATGGTGGCAGGAAGAAGCGAAGTGGCCAGAGGTATTCAGAAGAAATCAAGAAGCTCTGTCTCATTTTCCACTACTATTCCCCGAGAGCATATAGATTCCTCTCAAAGAACTTCTCTCTGCCGGGTGCAACATCGCTACGAGAGTGGACGAGAAGCGTCAGCTGTGAGGTGGGCGTCCTCCACGAGGCGCCACAGACGCTGTGCTGTGAAGTGACAGCCAAGAAAATCGACCCCAACTGCTGCTTGATGGTTGATGAGATGGCCATCCGGAAGGCGAAGGTGTACTCGCAACCCAAAGACAAGTTCGTTGGTCATGTTGATCTGGGTGCAGGGGACGTGGAGGACACGAGACTGGCAACAAATGCCCTAGTGTCCATGGCCATTGGTATCAAAGGTGTGTGGCGCCATCCTGTCACCTACTTTCTCACAGACCACATTTCAAGTGAGACTCAGACAGAGCTGGCCACGACTGTCCTGTATGCTTTGAGCGATGCAGGATACCTGTGCTGGTGACCGCAATACCTGTGCTAGTGACGGCAAGTAGATTTACTAGTTACATAGTGTTGCGGCTGTAAAGTGCGTGGGCATGCAAGTCCTGTGCATTAGCATTGTTAGTAGTACGGTGTAATACTCTGAACAACATATATACTATGCGTAGTTTTGGGGCTGTAATGTGTGTCGACGTGTAAGTCCTGTGCATTAACGTTGTCAATAATATAGTGTACATATTCTGAATAACATGATATACTATGCGCATACATCGATGCCTACACAGCTCACAGGAGTACCGAGCCGACGGTGCTGGACATAGCTTATATTCTTGTAACGTACCAAATCGAGACATGAGCTCTGGTCTTATCTGAGTGTGGATGGGGACAGACCTATTCTCTCACGCAGGTGAACAACATGCATGCAGTGCATACAAAGGGATAACCATAGCCTGAACTCCAGCAACCCACCGGGGCAGTTGCTTCGCCCATAAACAAAGACATAAGAATGTCCTCCGTCTTCCAACAGGCTGATGCAAATGATGACATTGGCGTAAGTCGAAGTGCCGCCTGCGAAAAGATTCGTGCTTTCCAACGATTTTGGGTCGTCGATCCGACCTGGGAGAACCCAACTGTCAAGTACATTTAAAGCTGGACAAAGTCGGCTAACATTCATGACAGTTATCTTGCTCGGATTTACTTCTGACTATCTCAAGCCGAAGCCACAAGCCAGGAGAGGGTGATACGATTGGCCCAGCCCTTCTGCCCGCTGGAATGTTGCAAAGGACCACATCCGGATAAGGGTTAAGAACAACTGTTTCCAGCGTTATCGTTATGGCATCTTTTCTCTCTTAGAAGGACCATCTGTTTTCCTCTGAGACCAGATATTACCCTGCCTCCCCACACTTCTGCTACGACGCAAATTTGCAAAATCAGTATGCCTGGATCAGTCTGTCGAGCCGCTACCCATGTCCTTGGAGCAACCTTTCCTGTGCCGTATTGCGCAAAATTGATGTCTTAAACAGCCCCAGAATTTTCAAGGCCCTCCCTCCCATTATTTCCCAATCACACGCCTCCGGAGGTCGGCCATTCGCCATAGAATCATCATTGCGAAGCTAGCTATTGCCCTACTCCGCGTGGTGGCGCTAGTGTCGCAAGACGGGAACAACCGGCCGGTCGCCGCGCCAATGGGAGTAGGCTGTCTGGACTTGTATAGGTCAATGCTTGGATATTATGAACTTTGGACATTCTGTACCTTGGACATTGTGCTTTGGACATTCTATACCTTTGGACATTTTGTACCTTGGACATTCTGTGCTTTGGATATTTTGTACCTTTGGACATTCTGTAAATTGGACAATATGAACGCCTCCCCGCCTTAGAAAATATATTGCATGGGTATTAGATAAGCGGTTACTTCCCGCGCAGTATTTCTTTTGAGCCAGGCTGCGGAACATACTTCTCCAAAGCACTGCCAAAAAAATTGGTTTGGAAATCGTCATTGACTCCATGCTCGTGTACACTTACAACGTTCCAGGAATCTATTTTGTCTATGAAAAGAGCTCTTCTTTCCTGAGATACAATCGACAGATCCTTTTCCTGAGGTACACGAGATAGACTCTATAGACTGATGAATTTGGAGCTCATGTGAAAATGGCACGTTGAATAAATGGACAGCTTACTTTCTTGAATGACAGAAACAGACGCAGCACCCCGTTGGATCATTAATGTCGGGCGCCTAATCTTGCAAAAAAGCGAAGTGAAGTTGGAGGATATTGGAAATAAACGTGAAATATGGTGATCGAGAAATTCACATCTTTACCAACAAACAACCTACATATTCCATATAAAAAGTTTTTGCGTCACAAAATCCCAGTCCAATCACTGGTGTACGCACACAATGTAAATGCCATGGTTTCAGGGGACCTGCCAACTATGGGCATGAGTAATGTACCCGTCAACCAAATTTTTACACTATCTCGAAATCTTTGTTGTTTTAGTACATGCTGTCCAGGTTACGAGATAGTTCCAAGACTAAGCCTGAGTTATGCCTTAGTCAGTTATCAGGTTGAGTTTCAGAGTTCAACTCTTTTAATTATAGGCCTGGTTTGGTCTTGTGCCCGCAAACGAGGTCCAACACACATGTCCCCGCCAAACAAACATACATGTGCGTGTGCGTGTGCGTGTGCGTGTGCGTGTGCGTGTGCGTGTGTGTGTGTGTGTGTGTGTGTGTGTGTGTGTGTGTGTGTGTGTGTGTGTGTGTGTGTGTGTGTGTGTGGGCGTGTGTGTGTGTGTGTGTGTGTGTGTGTGTGCGGGTGCGGGTGCGGGTGCGGATGCGGATGTGGGTGCGGGTGCGGGTGCGGATGCGGATGTGGGTGCGTGTGCGTGTGCGTGTGCGTGTGTGTGTGATAGAAAAAAGGTCACTGTGCAGATGGCGTACAACCGCGAATCCTACGAAGTGCGCGTCGTTCTACAATGACGGCCTATGCGCGCATGTGATCCATTTTTGGATAGTTGTAATGCGGTATCAATGAAACCGAACCATGTGTCGGTTTTGAGGCACAAACCAGGACTAGAAGCTCCACAACAGGTCAGGATGGAGATGCAGCGCAATGACAACTAGGATAGCGCGATCGTATATCTCAACCTAGCGATGCCACCGTTCAGGGACACTGCCGACAAGCCACCGACCGATTTGGCCCGCTGTATCATGATATACTTGCTGAGTCATCGACGTCGGATGGATGCCGAACCACGAGAAATTGGGAAAGGGATGGGTCCACTACTGTGATCCTCAAAAGTGGTTAGATCACTGGTACTATGCGTCGTGTCAGGGTGCGTTATAGACTTTTTGTTTCAGATGGGGTAACGTGATACGTCTTTGATGGTGATGATAATTTGAGCTCTAGGGGTGGACTGCGATGGTCATTTTGCGCCCATAACTGATGAGCGCCTATCGCGGCGAGTGGTTTACTAGCAATCCTTCATCAGCTATAAATAATAATAAAAATAGTTGGCTTGCATCCACGTGAGAGTCGTTGTCAAGCATACCAGAATAGGTAAGATATGGAGGATTTCAACTGAAATGAAAAAATTGTTCTTTGATGAACACGGGCATGCGCAAGCAGCATGGCCAACTGTGACTGATACATTACAACGGGGGGGGGGGGGGGGGGGGAGGGGCGGCGGTATGGACGGCGTCCAACATATAACAGGTAGCAATGCGTCTGTTCTGTTAATTTGCACAGCCTATTCTTCTGGTCGCAACTTAGGCGAACTCGACGGTCATGGCCATAGACCTGGCTGTGGCTCTGCAATCTTTAGCTCATTGTTTGTCGTGCCATTCCAGCAGCGTCACCATGTTATTGTCCCGCACCCTTGAATGGTGCGGCAGCGACTGCAGATATTGGTGATTGAGGGGCCAGGCGGAACGGGATTGGAAACCGGACCCCACGTGGGAGCCGAAGACGCTAGCCGCTTGGGTTTTATGCCTCCACAAGTCAGACTTAAGCTGGATGGACTTCGTAGTTAGCTGTGTCAGGGTCAAGTCAGAACAGCAGGTGGCTCGTTCTCGGACTGCTGCCGACTGAACCGGTCGGCAATGCTTGCTTTAAATCGGTTTTTGCTGTACCTGACTACGCAATCGTGTTTTACTACTGCTTGAAAACTATATAGAACAGACCGATGTCTCTTTCATCCACCTTCCATTCTTTATGTTGAATGTGTTCTTTTTTTGCTTTTACCCTTGTTCAGCTTCAGGTAAAAATAAATGTTTTGAGTCGCAAATCATGGATTGTAGCCAAATGCTCCAAGCAGAGGCATGGTAACTGAAATGCCCCAAAATGGTGCAAACATTATATGCAAAGTATCCTCCACATAAGGGCAGTACAAGGCCCAGTCAGTTTCCCATGCACTACACAAAACATAAATGAGTGGTACATCCCCCACCAAGTTAACAAATACTCTGCATATGTGGCATTACTGATTCACATTTTATGATCACTTGACACCTTCAGAACTACCCCAAAAGCATTTACTGCCCACATTATCCAAATCCCATTGAACGTCACAGCAGATGAGTATTTGACACTTTCAGGGTGTGAGCCTTTCCCTTCTCCAATATCAGAACTATTGGAAGTAGATGCAAGCTAGGCCAAATGACTCACTCAAGTGCAGTGTAATGAACAGTAATTGCACCTAAAGCACCACTTCTAACATGGGACCTAACATTTCTCAGTCTTTGCAGGGCACCATCACATCACATCACACCAACCAATCTTTCACCAACTTAGCAGACTAAAAAATGACTTGTTTTAATAGGTTCATGCATTAGAACTAAGCCTAAGGCTTTGATGTGCTGTTTAATTCTAAATCTCATGACTGCCCAACAAATGGTGGTAACACCACTCATCTTTCATCAAACCAAAAATAAAGCTTTTATTTATTCCAGGCATTCCCAATCAGCTGACAAAACAAGCTAGAAACTTGGGATGTCTAGCACAACATGCTGATATCTGGCACAACTGTCACTGATATTTGCCAAACCAAATCTTGTCATACTTGGAACACCACCTGTGACATCCTGTCATGTTGTTCTGGACCAGATACTCATATGTGTATGGGTTGTTGTTGTTTGCCTCTTGCCATCTTTCAAGTTCTTGCTTTTTCTGCAGAATTTCATGGCTAACCACTTCTGCTTTGAATGGCAGCTTTCCAGCCACCTCCTGCAGGGCTGGCTTGCACTCTTCAAAATCGCAGGCACCAGCCAGCTCTACTATCACTCGTCCTGCTCGGACCGGGGACACATAGTGGTCAATTGCACCCTTCCCACCACCCATCCGTTTTCCCTGGCCTCGTTTTGTCACAGGCTTCCATACAGCATCAACTCGCCACACTGCGAACATCCTCTTCACATCTATGCGTCTACCAAGAGTCATACGGATCATTTCCATGTGGCCATGCTTCAGCTTTCCTCCTGTCAGTGCTATGATCCCATACTGCTTGTGCAGAAGCTGGTTGTGTACAGTTTCTGGACCTCTCATGTCAATCAGCCTCTTTTGTGATTTCGGGATCCGCATACCAGGAGGAAATTGTGGTACTTTGGGTAGCATCCATAGTTTGGGTCTCTCAGGTATCTTCATGTCACTGTAATCTGCAGGAGGCTTGAAGTACTTCAATCCAGCCACCGGAACACTCCGTACAAAAAGGCTTGCAACATGGTCTGCGTTGCTTAAAACCCCTGAGCATCGCAATATCCTCCTCACGTCCATCCCGCAATCACCTCTTACGAACCGCTGCAACCTGGCAGCAACACGCCTATTAGGGCAGTACCCAAAGGCAAAGCAATGCTCAATGACGCTACGACCCAGGGCTGTAGCCGCCGTCCCACACTAGCAACGCTGCATGCTGTAAGCAATCCAAAATTGAGCCGTAATTGAACCCACATCCAGGGTAGCAGAATATCGCAGGTCTTTGGCACATTGAGCTACCAACTTCAGCGTGGCCGTGGCTCCGTCACTTTGGCGTCAAATGAATATTATTTTAGTAACGTAAAATTGACCTTCCACACATTTCGTATCCTTGTATTGTTAAGTTTAAATTTTTACCGATCAATAGTTTGCAGTCCAATTTGCATTCAATGTTCTTCATGCGTCATCACTGGCAAGAAATGCGAAAAAGAGAGGATGTCTTTTCGACGTCAGTGGGGCGCCTTCATTAGGCAGTTTTGGCACGTGAATGTAAACAAAGTTTGCCCGTTTTGTCGGTGGTGGCAGGTGCTGTGAGCGGAGTGCTGGGGCATTGTAACGGACGAAGTTCTGGTTTTGGTGAGATTGTTGTGTGGTTATCTCTCATGACACTTAGTATTCAGTATAATGCATCTTTGTGAGATGATTTTTACTCATTTGATTGCGTCCTTGGCAAATAAAAGTTGCACAGGCGGTTGTGGCACGTTGAAGTAGACGTACTTTGCCGTCAACATACTAGCATTGTGTGCAAGTTTGACAATTATTTCAGTATTCATGTCCAGTGGATACATGGAATTGATGGTAGACTTTGTTAGGAGTAGAAGCTTTCTGTTGATTTTTTGGAGAGTAATAGGGAGCCTGTGGTAATTAAATGGTATTTTGTCCTCAAAGCTAAAAAGATGTTACACCACCATACAAAAATTGTTTGTGCTGTGTAGCAACTGATCTTGCATTGACCTAGTACTACACATGGTAGGTCTGAAGCATTTGTTTTTGCAAAGGATGCATTTTAAAGCCAAAGTGGCAGCATTTTAGGTGTAAGTATACATTGGTACCTAATGTTAGAAATTAGCATTGTCCATCATTTGCCATGTTTCAAGCAAAACATACTGTAGATAATAAAACAGGTAGATTCATGCTCCTACCTTCAAGTTTTAATAATTTGATACCGAGCTCCTTAGTGCTGCACACAGTCCACCACCTCTACATCCCCTCCCCTACCCCAGCGCCATTCCTGTGTTGTTGTCACATGGTCACAATATTACTGCATATCAAGAACCATTACAAATATATGGGGCCATAGTAACAATAATAATGCAATTAAATATGTTTCTATTGTGTGTAGATATGTTCATAAAACAGACAGGCCAGAATAGTCTGTAACATAGCCTAACCTAACGTAACGTAACCTAACCTAACCTAACCTAGCCTGACCTAATCTTACATTACCTAATCTTACATTACCTAACCTGATTTAATGTAACCTAACCTAACCAAACTGAATCTCCCCACCCTATCCCCTTCAGCTCAGTGCCCCATTGGCATCCATGTTCCATGCCATGTACCATATAAAGAAATTGTGTTTAGCTGTCATATTCTCATTTTGCTTTTCATTCCCCACTCAAAGACATCATATTTGCCCCCCCCCATGTCAACCAATCTACAAGCGGTGTGAAAGACTGCTTGAATATGTGAGAAACATATTTAATTGCGTTCTTGTTACCTTGGCCCCATACATTTTTAGAGTTCTTGATGCTTAGTTATGGTCACATTTGCCGCGTGTTTGCAATGCTCGAATGTTCGCTATCATGGTTATTTAAGTTCCAAAGTAAGAGTTTAGATGACCTGTTTTATTGACCATTGACCATTATTTATTATATGACCATTATATGATATATGACCATTATTTACCATATGTTCTGCAGTACACATGATGATTGATGTACAATGCCCTTTTTAACATGAGGTAGTAATGTATAGCATGACCACATTTTGACAGTGCCTGGCATAAAGTCCTGAAATAAGTAGCGTTTGCTACCATAGGCTGCCACGTGCTCCCACGTGCTGCTGCCAAATTTATTCAGGAAGTATTTCATGCAAGGCTTATACAAAGTAATTTGGATTAAGCAACAAATGATGCATCACAATTTTCTGGAAGCTGCATTTCCATTTGTGTAATAAGGGTCTGCTTTGCAAGACACTTTAAAAAATGAAATAAGCATATGCAGTTGTTTTGAGTTTTGAAGAATGATTTTGATATACCTAAGCATTTTGAGAACCTAGGTGATCAGTTTAGATCAAGTGGGTAATTCACTTAAGTCATGTCTCTGTGCTTTTTTCTACAGTGTGACTTTGGAATTTGGAATGTCTCATTCAAGTGGCCTGCATTGTTTTTTTGCAGGGACTGGATCCATCATATTGAAGCTATGGAGGATGAATTTGAACCACTTGATCCAACACTGAAGAATGTGGTTGATCAGACATCCCTCAAATGGATATTTGTGGGTGGAAAGGGAGGTGTTGGCAAAACAACTACAAGGTACTATTGCATGTATAACAACCCTTGTACTGTCGAGGGAGAGGGAGAGGGAGCGGGAGCGGGAGGGGGAGCGGGAGAGGGAGAGGGAGCGGGAGAGTGAGCGGGAGGAGAGGGAGAGGAGAGGGAGCGGGAGAGGGAGAGGGGAAGGGGAGGGAGAGGGGAAGGGGGAGGGAGAGGGGAGGGAGAGGGGAAGGGGGAGGGAGAGGGGAATGGGGAGGGAGAGGGAGGGAGAGGGAGGAGGGAGGGAGAGGGAGGGAGAGGGAGGGAGAGGGGGAGGGAGAGGAGAGGAGAGAGAGAGGAGAGAGAGAGAGAGAGAGAGAGAGAGAGAGAGAGAGAGGAGAGAGAGAGAGAGAGAGAGAGAGAGAGAGAGAGATATATATATATATATATATATATATATATATATATATATATATATATATATATATATATGTATATAGGGATAAATAATCATTGGACAAGCTTGGCTCTGTGATGTTAAACAGAATCACATTAAAGAGTCTCTTTGTCATGTAAAAGGGCAAAAAATCTTAGTAAGACACAAGTTTGTTGCAAAATATAATTGATCATTAAGATTCAAATGCAGCCCATAAACCCATAGATGACAGGTTACAGAGAGCCCCCTCAGGTACCTATGAGCCCCCTCCCCCCTCCCTACATCTTGTTTGGATGTTCTTATGCAGTGTGGGAGTGTACTGACACTGCTGTAGATCTCAAAATGAATGACAGAAATTCAAAAACTTTCTTTTTCCTCCTGAGAAGATTCTGGTTAGGGTCGCAATGAGTCATGCAACCAGCAGATTTGATATAGATTGCAGCACATTCATCTACTTTTTCCTTGGGGCCCTGCACCCATTTATTGGTGTGCTGTGTACAGTCAAATCATTACCAGCATTGGTGGCAAGTAAAACTCCACCTGAAGCTCAGCAGCAAAATTTTAATGTGGATAGTGGATGGGTCAAACTTCCATGTATTTGACCATTAGATTGTTCAGATGAGTCATTTTTAAAATGATCAGTCAATAGTGACATAAGTTGATTGCTTGTTTCTTTGGCCTGTTGCTTGTAAAAAAGTTTTTCTGCTTGAATGAGCATCAGCTTCACCTCACTTGAACTCAATCAGCAGACTTTTGATGCACATATTCTATGGGACTTAAACTTTCATGCATTGACCATTAGGCTGCCAAAGATAGCTGATTTTCAAAAAAGGTTAACCAATAGGGACAGAAGTGAAATGTATTATTGTTTGCCTGTAGATTGTCAGCTGGAATGATCATCTTTGGCCTTTTTATCACCTTGCGGTACCAGTTGCACCTGTAACCCACCACTGTTGCCTTAAAAGTCATTTACATTTGCAGTGTATCTGTCACACCAAAGTAACTGTACATCATTTAAGCATAGCTGCATGCTCAGTTACCTTATTATAGCTGATCTTGCGGCCTAGTGACTGGAATGGTCTGCCAACAAAACAGTGCTAGTGGACCTGGCCATGTTTGGGAATGTAACATACTATGTACCATTATGCTATGATATATGTGTATATGTATGCATATATATATATATATATATATATATATATATATATATATATACATATATATACATTTTTCTATTTTGGTGCCTCATATATGCTCCTTTTATCTGGTAAGATGTAATTTTGTCTGGATGCTCCCAACAATCGCAACCTATGACATCTGTTTTTGTTTAAACTGGAATGGTTTACCAACAGAACAGTGCCAGTGGACCTGGTCATGTTCAGGAGCATACTTGACTATTTTGGTGTCTTGTATATGTCCCTTTCACCTGGTAAGATGTCACTTCATCTGAATGATTCCAATGATCCCAACTTAGGCCACCTGTTTTAGCTCAAACTTCCAAATAATGACCAATTGTGTTTAACAGTCAGCATTGCAACTATGTTGTGACACTGCTTCAGCTGTAGCCTGGCCGTCCAGCTGGCTAAAGTCCGTGAGAGTGTCCTCATCATCTCAACAGATCCTGCCCACAACATATCAGATGCTTTTAATCAAAAGTTTACAAAAGTACCAACCAAAGTCAATGGATTCAACAACCTTTCTGCCATGGTAAGTGATGTCAGTGAGCAGTGGAATGTACCTGTGTGCAATAGGCATGCCTTTTTGTGTTACCAGTTATTCCATTGCTGCTTTGATTGAATAATCTTGCTCTGTCCATACTATTCTTTCCTAAATTTAGCCATAAGATATATTTTGGATGACTTTTCTGACAGGATTATGATTGGCTCATGCATAATTTTGATGGACTCATGCATAATTGTGATGGACTCATGCATAGGTGTGATTGGCTGATGTATACACAATATGTTTAATGCAAACTTATTTGTAAATGGCTGTGAGATATGTCATGGTGAATGAATGAAATGGTGGTAATAAGATGTCACTCCATCTGAAGGATCCCAATGATCCCAACTTAGGCCACCTGTTTTGGCTCAAACTTCCAAATAACGACCATATAGCCCAAACATTGTGAACTACACTTAACAAACACAGTGAAACATGCTGGATGCACTGAGGCTTGTTGTAGAATTAATGAAATGTTGGTAATAATATAGCCCAAAAATTGTGAACTGCACTTGATGGACACAATCATACATGTTAGATGCACTGGGGGTTGTAGCATTGTGCGCTGCATGTTGCAAAATCCATCAGACACTTGTTTCATTGTGTGTGTGTCTCGCACAGGAGATCGACCCCAACGCCGGCTTCCACGAGCTGCCGGAGGAGTACTTTGAGGGCGAGTCGGAGGCGATGCGCGCCGGCAAGTCGGTCATGCAGGAGCTTCTCTCCGCCTTTCCGGGCATCGACGAAGCCATGAGCTACACCGAGGTCATGAAGTGAGTCAGCTCTGGGCTCATCCTCTGCCCTCGAAGCCAAATGGACGCCACTGGTTGTGACATGTGGTGGATTTTGATGTCAGTGGTCCTTCCCTCTTAATTCAATCTGGATAATTTTTGGATTGGGAAAACCTGACTCAAAGTGCAAGTAATGTAACCTTAGGTTTTGGCTCCTCTAGAAAAGTCTAGAAAAGTTCTTTAAGCATGAGTGCCGCATGCTTCTGCCCAGCATGGGACTGAATCAAATAAGAATTTTGGATCAGCCAGGAGACTTTTTGTCAACATAGTTTGCCTGTTTTTAGTTATCCTTGCCTGTTTTGCCCCGAGCTTGTGTCGCTGTCTAGGCCTGGCTATAGCACCAGGGTAGGTCCGCCGGCGGTGTTGGCGAGGGCGCTGGTCTGCCGATGCTGTGACGCCGCCTGGCGTTGTCTAGGTCTGGCTATAGCACCAGGGTAGGTTTGCCTGTGGTGTTGGCGAGAGCGCTGGTCTGCCGGTGCTGTGACGCCGCCTGGCGTTGTGTCGGCCGGGTTATAGCACCAGGGTAGGTCTGCCGTTGGTGTTGGCGAGAGTGCCGGTCTGTCGGTGCTGTGACGCCGCCTGGCGTTGTCTAGGCCGGGTTCTAGCACCAGGGTAGGTCTGCCGGCGGTGTTGGCGAGAGTGCTGGTCTGCCGGTGCTGTGACGCCGCCTAGCGTTGTCTAGGCCTGGCTATTGCACCAGGGTAGGTCTGCCGGTGGTGTTGGCGAGAGCGCCGGTCTGTCGGTGCTGTGACGCCGCCTGGCGGTGCTCTCGCGCACTGGCTGACACCGGCGTCCGCTCGTCACCAGGCTGGTGAAGAACATGAACTTCTCGGTGGTGGTGTTCGACACGGCGCCGACCGGCCACACGCTGCGCCTGCTCAGCTTCCCGCAGGTGGTCGAGAAGGGCCTCGGCAAGCTGCTCCGCCTGAAGAATCAGATCAGCCCCTTCGTCACCCAGGTGGGCAAGGCTGCCTGTGGACAGGGGCTGGGCGGCAGCGAGGGACGGCGCTCACTGGTGGCGGCGCTTGATTCCGAAATGGCACGCCGAGACGTGAGAGCGGACTTAAGCGAATGTGCGCGAATTCATGCGCAATCTCCCACGCGAGCTTTTGTGCAAACGTCTGTCTTTGCTGATGTGTAGATGGACGAATATGAATGACAGTAGGTCGCTTTGGTACAGAACGCCCGTTGAATGTTCTGAAAGTGGGGAGGAGGGTAGAATAATTCGAAGTACCAAAAGAATCGTTTCCCGATACAAAGACTTCGAATATTGGAACGCATTCTTCAGATTGGTTCCCTATCTGTCCGCTAGAGGTTTTCTATACCAACTAAAATAATTATCATGAGAGAACTTTTCCGTAGGACCAATTATTTTATAAAAAACTCACTTGTGACTGTGAATTTCTCCTCAGATTTGATCCATTGGTCTGTTGGCTCAATCAGATGACCTTCGTGACCGGTTTTTGATCAGACACCCTGTCTATATGTGACAAATTGGAAATGCAATCTGTGAAGCAGCTTGTGGTAAATTGAGCTCAAGTTGATAACTAACTAAAGGGCGTTCCAGGAAAAGCGGACTGATTTCTGACATTTGTTTGTTTTTTAACCAGGGTGATGCAGCGATGGAAAAATCAGTCGATGTTATTTTGCATTTGACCACTGGGCCCTCCACGTCCGTATATGACTCCCGTGTCGCCGGAGGCACCTTGCCGTCTAATCCTTTGCTGCGTAAATGGCGGTATGGGACGCTGTGTCTCTGAAGTTCAGTAATTCCTTTACACTTTTTGGGTCCTGAGTTGGTTTAAAGGCTCTTTGAGCACATTTGTGACTTGAAATGCCTCCACGAAAAAAATATATGTGGATCTAAGATGGAGGTAACAATCGGGCGAGTGGCCGAACTCGTTGATGGACTTGTGCTGGGTCAAACCCGCCTTTGAGCCGCTTTCTCGTCTCCTTCGCGGTATGCGCTGTCGTATCATCTTGCTGAAGCCATGGGCGTGGCATTACTTCACGGCAGATTTTCTTCAAAACCACCTACAACTTGTTAGGGATGGCTAGTTACCGTTTAGCTATTGCGGCCATCGCAGTCTTGATGGTGCGCCGGACGGTACACTTCGCACTGTGCGGCGGTACTTGTTAGGGATCGCTAGTTACCGTTTAGCTATTGCGGCCATCGCAGTCTTGATGGTGCGCCGGACGGTACACTTCGCACTGTGCGGTGGTACTTTGTGAACCTCATCAGGATCCTCGGTAGACCAAGAAAGACAGTTTTGCCCGATGATTTTACCGTTGAAACGAAAGTGTGCCTCGTTGGCAAATTTGGTCGGTGGACGGTGGGTTAGGCTCCCATGGTCGAAGAAACGAGGCGCCGTAGCGCATGCACGCGTTGTAATTGGTTAGTGAGAATTTCTGATGTGAGCTTACTTTGCATGTGAGCGGATTTGGGCTCTTATCTCTCCAGCCTCAGCGTGGTGGCCTTGCCACAGCCGACTAGCCCATTACGGTCCGGACCCACAAATGGATTGGTAGGGGCTCCGCAACAAGGCCTCTCTTGCCTCGCGGGGTCTCGGCCGCGATTCTTTTGGCCTGCTTCCTTGAGCTGACTTTATCATCGATGTTTCTAGGCTGCCATTCGCTATACAATTCTGCGCATTGTGCTTAATCGCGTTTCGAGAATAGTCGCGTGAGTCGTGTCACATTTTCCGATAAAAACCGCTGTTACATGAGAAAATCTGTCCGTTTTTTTCGGGATTTCCCGGAAGTTTGTGCTTTGGGTGACCCACTACGATGTGCAGCAAAGGCGCACGGTGTGCTTAGTTACCAAGCCTGGTACCGTGCTCCAGTGTAGAATATATATTGGCTCAGACGAGCTAAAATGTGCAGCATTGAGACGCGGTTATTTCAGCTCATTGCCTGTCATTGAGACCTTAAGACGCACTCAGCTGCTGAGGCAGTATGATGTCGTCTGCCTCTCACCTTGACAGAGGTCAGGCACCGCGGGCGCCGTATTTCAACAGTTATGTTGTATGCGCGCCGATAGGCATAATGTGTTTGAACTGCTCTCTTGTTCCCAAGTTGTTTAGAGTGAAAGGCTCCGACGCTCGAATCACGCTACGCATTTGCACGTTGAATTGGTCAACACTGTTGACGTATTCCACTAATTAAATGAGCAACATTTAAGCCAGCCCTCTGACCCGTTTGGTAATTTAAAGTTGGGCCGAATCAACGTGTGGCAGACATGACTTGGCTAGCGTCCTAGAGGCGGCCGTTGTGTCGGCTTTGGCGGTCATCTGGCAACTGGTTAAATGTGTCGGACTGACGTGAGGTGGCTGTGGCGTTATATGGCACGTTAACACGTGATAGCGGACCCTGCCCTCTGAAGCTACGCTTGCTTGTGGGGTTGCGGAGTCAAGTTATTTGCATCGGGGTGCTGATAGCCCGGTGACTGGGTTGTCTGTTCCGGAAACCAGAGGTACGAGGCTCGATTCCCTGCCCTTCCTGACATGGTGAGGGGTCGGTGACACCGTCTAGGTTCAACATCACAGTCCTCCGTAAAGTCCAAAGGACTTATAAAGGATATTTGCATCACACTGCAAAAAGGGCCTTATCCCAAATCCATCCCCGCAAAACGTTTGGTCAAGCTGTCTTGTCACATGAAGGGCGGTGACGATGTAATCGATGTTCCATTTTCGTGGAGCCGTCGTTCCGTCCCCGAATGGTGGTCAGCCCACATCGCGACGTGGCGGCCCATGTTGAACGTCACCCGGTCGGCGATGGTCTGGACGGGTCGTCCGGGTCAACCGTTCGCGAAGGACGAATTAGTCACGGCGGGAACTCCCGAGACTGGGTGATGGCATCATACGTGTGCTGGACGGCGCGGCGGACGGGAACCGCCAGCTCTGTCTTCTGTATCCAGGTCGGTGGCCAGTGGTGCCACCTAGTGGTTGGTGCCGCCGGGGGCTCAGTGCTCGTAACAGCCACATTTTGTGATCCATGCCCTCCAGCCGAAGGAGGGAGGGGGGGGGGGGGGCGACGGAGGGAGGGCTGCCATCCATCTGGAATATCTTTCAACACCTGAAACGTCGGTGCCAACGAGCCGATACAAACGTAAGAGTGGTCAATTGCCATCAAATAGATGATGCCAGAAACAAAGCTAATCGAGCCAGACGCTTTTCGTAACCCATAAAGACGTAAATCCTGGGTGCAATGGTGAGTCACATGGGCGCTCCGGTTGCATACATTGGTCAACAGTATCTCCCGATCATCCGTTTCTTCGTCCATCAGAATATGTTTGCCCCATGTAGCAACGATGCCGGGCTGCCACCGCTGGGGCCCTGTTTTGGCCCGTACTCTCAGTGTATTCACAAAAACCGTTTGCTTTGTGGATCGAATGGGAAGGTGGAATCGTGACGATGTTACAATGCTGTACAAAACGCCCGCCGAATGAAGCAGCTCGCATGTCGATGTCTGACATGTTATGCTGCACAATCTGTAGGGAATCTGCCGTCATGGGCTGCTCAGGCTGAAGGAAATGTCAGAGGTCATGCAAGGCTGGCTCGGGCCTCGCTCGTTACAAAACGTTCACCGTGTTACGTTGGACTCCATTGTCAGAGGTGCTTTGAACGCACGGATATCCAACAGCATTGAATTTGCTCACTGTCCATGATCGATTATGAGTAATGGTGATCTAAATATATCTGATATTTTGCTGATCGTTTGCCACAAGGGACTTTGGGGAAGAAGTTGTGTTCTTGGTCGAAAAGAGAGTATGCGCGAGAGATGATATCACTTCTTCCGCAACATTGGTTATACACTATATTTCTTTCCGGTAAGCTGATCATTTTTATTTGCATTTACTTTTTTTGGATGCATTTTGGGTTGACTTTTTTACCCAGAAATCCATTAAAAAATGTGAAAATGGTAATCGCAAGACCAACCGTGAGAATGAACGGACAGGAATGTCAGGAATGTCGGCGTCCCGGCGTATGAACGGCCAGGAATGTCGGCGTCCCGGCGTATGAACGGCCAGGAATGTCGGCGTCCCGGCGTATGAACGGCCAGGAATGTCGGCGTCCCGGCGTATGAACGGCCAGGAATGTCGGCGTCCCGGCGTATGAACGGCCAGGAATGTCGGCGTCCTCCAGTGTGCCGTAGCGCAGTCTGCTAGTGTTGCTCTCCCCGGCTTGATGGGGCGTCGCTTTGGCTGAAGTTGCCCGCCGCTGGTGTAGCTGGCCCGCCGTGACGCGCTCACCGGCCTCCGTTCGACAGATGGGCAACCTGCTGGGTCTGGCCGACTTTAACCCGGACGATATGTCGTCGCGGCTGGAGGGCATGCTGCCAGTCATCCAGCAGGTCAACGAGCAGTTTCGCAACCCGGTGAGTGCGGTGCTGGAGAAGGCGGGCCGGGGTGGGGCGGCGGCGATCAGCAGCCATCAGCAGGGTAGGGCCTCCGCCGCCGAGCAGGGTCGGGGTGGGGCGGCAGCGATCAGCGGCCATCAGCAGGGTAGGGCCTCCGCCGCTGACGCGCCGCTCTCGCTGTTGCCGGGCGGAGCGATTGACCAGGCGCGTCCGGCGCGTCCGTCAGCGATGACCGCTGTAATCCTCCTCAGGAATTTGGATCCGGGGATGCCGTTTAGGGTGCAGATTTGCGGGTCCAGTGTGGTAAGATAGGCGCCCGGTCTATATGCTGGCCCATGGCTGTCACCGGCTCTGGCACGAGCTCCTGAAATCGTCATGTTAGTTGCGCAAATCCGCCTGCCTCGTGATTGGGCAGGACAATACGTCGTTATCTCGCCTCATTTCTAATGCGGGGAGGTCACAGTGCTGGCAACGGTCGGCCCCCAGCTGTACACCTTGCATGACTGGGTTAAAGATTCGGCCCAGGCTGACTAGAGCCAGTCGTAAAAAGTTGCGGTGATACTGGTAGCATTATTCATGTACATGAATTATATATTTACGCAGAAATTACGGTGTTAAGGAAATATTCGTGGTTTACCTCTCAAGTGCTCGAAAACGCGCCTTGTCCAATCTGTTGCTTGCAATTGGTCATTTGTCCACGGACGGCCGGCCGCTGGACCAATGATCGGGTCTCCCTCTGGAGCCCACTGTAGTGGTGTCCACGAGCGGAACGGCTCGTTCCCCGGGCAGCTGCACCAAGGAGAGCTGAGCACGGCGAACGAGAACAAATAGCTACCGTGCACCGCCTCTGCGGCGGCGCGCCCCAGAGAGTTGCGCGGTGTGTGACAGCCGCCGGCGCCCGCCCCCAGGACCAGACGACGTTTGTGTGCGTGTGCATTGCCGAGTTCCTGTCCCTGTACGAGACGGAACGGCTGGTGCAGGAACTGACCCGCACCGGCATCGACACACACAACATCGTCGTCAACCAGCTGCTGATGCTGAAGCAGGGCGAGCGGCCGTGTCGAATGTGCGCCGCCCGCTGCCGGATACAGCAAAAGTACCTGGACCAGGTCAGCGGCCGCTGCACGCGCCCACACGCACCCCTCCCCCCCCACACCACACGCACGCACGCACGCACGCACGCACGCACGCACGCACGCACGCACGCACGGGTACACCCATATTCACAACCGCATGCAACCTAGACCGTACAAACAACGCACATACACACGCACACACCAGCGACTCTGGGAACACTGCGTGAAAAAACTCGCATTTGAAAAAGTGCCTCCCATAACGGTACGGCTTAGCATTTACCTGATATCAGATCGTTGCGGCAAACGCAGACATATGCCTGCAGTTCGCGCTGTACCCATGCAAAAACCAAAACCTGCGGAATTGGCATAAGATACGTATACATATATTTATATATAATACCATGTAAAAACAAACACCTGAAAAAACACATTAGCCAGAAGATGTCACAATTCAGCACCTGTTAAACTCTAAGGCGTCGTTTCGTTGTGGTTCCTCCGTACTAACTCAACCCTGCGAAGTAGGGTGTAGGGTGTACCAGCGTGTCGTGTTGCCGCGTGACTTCAGCTGACGCCTGACTGACGCTCCACAACTGTCCATGTACCAGATGTGGCTGCTGGGCGGGAGGACAACGCTTATGTAAACGAATGCATGGTGCGAATACTTCTGTGGTTGTTCGTGGCCAATGGCAGGCTATGAACGATGGCCCTCCAAATAAACGGATTCAGATTTGTTTTGCTGAGCTGAACTGAGCTGCCGGACGGTTACATGCGTCTGTAATCATCGACGGTTACATGCGTCATGGTGTAACTCGATCCGTCATCGTGAGACGAAGCTGCTTGCGTGCTTGGAGATACTGATCATACACTGTTTTGCGCGTCTCGTTAGAGGCAGTCAAAAGCTACATCAGCCATGAAGTACACCATCTAAAGGCAAATACACCTGTAATTTCACGTATTTATTTCAGTGCAAGATCTTCTGGCGGCCGCCATAAAAAGTGCGTTTTTGTTTCAGTTTTAACCCTGTTTATTTGCCGAGCTTTGCCGCAGTAGCGTTGTTAATTTCGTCGCCTTGTTTCTGTACTTGGATAACCAAGATCCTGGGTAACAGAGCATTCTGTTTTATTCCAACGCGTACGTATGTAACGGGTGAAAAGGGTGTCAATTACATTCACCGCTGATCTGTTCACTAAGGCTTTTACCAGATGTTGGTTGCCCTGGTACCATTTCGTGGCAATGACCTGAGGTCCCAAAATTGACCGTCTATGTCGGATCGGATAAATTTGATTGACCGTGTTTGAACGATTCCAATTTGTCATGACATGGCACGGTGCACCCAAGAGCTACATGAAACGGCGTGGCTAGGCTTCGCGCCCGCCGTGGACGGCTGGGTGACGACTTCCGTCGACGGACGTAGACGGGCGTGTTCGGATGTTGCCGGAGCCGGGCTGTAAAGCGATGTACAGTTGCGGCAAGTGTACTTATGAAGACGACAAGCCCGCATTTGCATGCCGCGCCAGACCGCACCGTCGGCGGGCGGATGCGGCCCACACTCGGAGCACCAGCTGTCGGCCGTCGGCTGCTGCTTGAGGCGCTCGGAACAGCTCTCGAAGCGCTCGGCGTGGGAGGCTGGTGACATGTTTCTCAACGTGAGGACATCGCACTCAGTGATCAAAATCACATCATCAGTCATGTTGAGCCATTCCAGCTGTACTGGCGGAGGCGATTCTCGGTCGCGGCTTTTGTGTGTTTTACGACACGAGAGCGAAAGGTTATCGCTTTGTCGACCTGAAAGTGAAGCAAAAGTTTACGGTGTACCTGTGTCGCAGTGCAGCTACCCCAGACATCCACACAGTACTGGGTGAAGGGTGGTGTAAGCGCCCCCGTCAGCAGTCGTTTGGTCTGTCTTGGCGAATGTTGCCGCATGTCAACTAGCGCGGTGATCATTCTGTGGCACCGCGGCGCCAGATCCGGCCTCAGATGCGTGTCCCAGGTAGAGCGTGGACGGACGGTGACGTCATCTTCACAGCTTGCGACAGTTTCATTTGGCTGTTGCTAGGCTTGACTTGACCCGGGGGCTCAGTTGGTTGAAGCGCCTGCTTTCTTATTCTGCTAGCCATGGCGTGGTGGGCTCGAGTCGCTTTAGGGGGCTCTCCATTTACCCCCGACTGGGTTGGGATATGACCGGTAGCAGCAGCCGCACTAAATGTCAGGTGACGTCGTCAGATGGTGTGCCGAGTCTTCCTGAGTATTACGGCATGCAAGCGTGTGGCGCAGATTCGGCCGTTATCACGAAATTTTACAATCGGATCGTGGGGTGATGGCTCACGCAACAAGCTCTTTTTGCGTGGGCGCTGATCCCACAAGCCCATCTAATCAAAAGGTTCCGACTGCATCTTAGAAAAAAACGTGGTTTGGCGCGTTGCCGGTGGTGTATTGTATGGGTCAGTTCTGTTTGAAAGGGATTACTGTCAACACTGTTTCAATTGGTTTAATTGTCTGTTGATGGTTAAAAAATGGTTAATTAACAGACTTTGCTTGGCGCTGCCTGCAAGCTGAAACTGAGCCATCCGGAAAGTCAAAGCAATGCTTGTTTGTGGAGCCAGCACGAAGAATATGTGTCATGAACAGACGGGATCACATCGCCCTGTGACGCGCCTGGTGTCAGATCGTTTGAAAAAGTGTTGAGGACGAGGTTGTGCTCAGAATGGGACCTTGCGCCACATTCCATTGCCGGTTCCATATGGCTTATAACCAGCCGTGGACGATAAGGACGCTGGACTGGATGCGGCCGAGGGCAGTTAATGTTGCCGTTATTGCAATTTTGGTTACACATGGATAGCCATTGGACTTTATTTTATCAGCATGGAGCTGGCGTGATGCCCGATATGACGGATGCACGATGACGGGAAACTTCCGCGACTGGCTGTGCCCTGCAGGACTCGCCGGGCGCCTCGCAGGACTGACATCGGCCCCACCCGCCCCTGGTTTCAGATAGCAGACTTGTACGAAGACTTCCACGTGACGAAGCTACCACTGCTGGACCACGAGGTGCGCGGCGTTCCGGCCGTGAGCGAGTTCTCGGCTCAGCTGCTGACGCCGTACCGGCCGTGACGGCAGCGCCCGGTCCGCGCCCGGCCCGGCCCCGCTCCGCTCCGCTCTCATCCGCACCGCACAGACCGTGTCATTCGTCAAATATATTGCAACACCGCGCGAGCGAAGGCCGTTTCTCGACATGCCGTGTCGTGCGCTGCTCTGGACCGCAGGCGCATGTCGGGCTCGCGCCGAGGATTTGCTGTTCTTTTGGGAGGATAACCAAAGGTTGTGCATCGTAATGTTGGAGGGAACAAAGTTGTCGTCGGGGCTATTTTGCGTGATATGAATTTAGGTATAACCGCGTTTCGATACTTCCAACGGATCGAGACGTTGATAGAGACAATAAATTACACAACCACGATACAATGCTAGGTTTGAAGTTTCTTCATGACATTCAGCTACTCTGGTCGCCATGTTGAGGTGCACCGCTTCAAAAACGGAGCGTTCTGCGCCAACCGGCTCCGATCATGTGCAGACGGGTAGTTGAGAGCCGCGCTGCTCGAGTGTTCGCAGCCGGTCCCTGGCCGCAATACACGTGACATCGCTTTACACCGCGCTCCTAGACGCGATCAACGCGTCGCCGGCGCTCGGCTTTGCGACAGGCGCGGTGCGACCGCTCACGCCGCCCTCTGCGGCGCACCCGGGCGCGCTTACCAGACGCCTTGGCCAATGACAGCAATAAAACGGACCAGCGCAGGAAGGAGGGGTTAGCCACTAGTCTACGGGGCGTCCGTCCGGGCGGACGGTCGACGCCCGCCGGCGGGCACGGCGGGGTTACACCAGCGGGTTGAGGAAGGCGGCGAATCCCACGCTGGGTATGGCGTAGCTGCTGCACGACGTCAGCTGATTACTGAAACACAGCGGAATGGCGTGAGTGGCGTCGGCTGCGACACTGCAATCTTACTAAGAAAGAATGCGTTCAGAACGAAGGCCGCCGTTCAGCGAACAACGAATTGCGACACGACTCACATGGTGACTCGCGCCGTTGAACGCAAAGGTGCAGGCTGCCACAGAAGAATAGTCTCACAGCACGGAAAACAAGCACTTCTCGTACCAAGGGCTCCTCTGCCCTGTGAGTGCCTGCATTCTCCTTTGACTCGTCCTGTGATCTCGTCAACAAGACTCGCGGCGGCAGACGGGCGCGCCGCATCGGCCGCCTCCCCGGGCACGTACTAAAAGTTGGGCGTGTAGAAGGCGAGCGGCTGCACCTCTCCAAGGCCAGGCACGTTGTCGCACATGATCCGCGCCCAGCTGGCCTTCCTGATCTCGAACAGTTGCGCTGCGGCGGCGACATGGCCCAGTCAAGGCTCGCCGGCACCAGCGGCCGGCACGTGGTCCGGCTCGAGACGTCCCCCCTGCCGTGGGTTTCCGCGGCTCGGGATTCCCGTGCCGCTCGAGCCGTAAGAGGATACATATGCAGCAGGCACAATCCGCCACATTGGCGATAGGGCGGCTGCCAGAATGTCGGTGCAGAGCCGCATAAACAATGCGCGGCGCACCGTCAGCAGACGTGACCTTGGCAGAGAGGCGCCGTGGACCGGTGAACGGGAGCGCAATCGGAGCCGGCCGTCTTACCGGTGCGACCGGCTCACAAGGTCCGCCGATGACCGGCGCGCCGCTGCACGACCGACCGGCCGTCAGCGTTGAAGCAGGGTGACCTAAACATAGCGAGAACGAGAGCGCGATGTGGCACTGCTGCCTCCAAGCGCCATGGGGAGGAGTGCCGGCTGCGCAGGCCGTACCTTCCGTGAACGAGTGCTGCTGTCCGCCGAGGTCGTAGAAGTAGCGGTCTCCCTTCTTGAGCCGAGCGAACTGGTCGCCGACGATGCAGAGGAAGGTGTGGCCGAGCAGGGCGCCAGGCACCGGGCGCTCCGCAATGCCGGCCACGAAAAGGTCAATGTCGTCCACGGACCGGTAGATGGAGCGCATCCGGTCCACCACCTGCAGGAGGGAGGGGGGGGGGGGGAGTTGACAGCCAGCGACGGACACACCACGCCGGCCAACCCGACCAGCCCGATTAGTTTGCTAATGGCTGCCATTGCCACAAGCTGCTACCTTGTTAAGCCGGTACTTGCTCCCAGCTGCTACCTCGTTAAGCCGCTGAAGTCGGTTGGCATGGTTTGTGTTATGATTCATAATTTATTTTCGCACCAGTGAAAACGGAAGCTTGACGGTTGGAATCCTTTGGCATTTCTGGTCAAAGTTCATGCAAATAAAATCCCAATCGGGCATTCTACAGACCTATATGAGTAATGACGAGGCCATCAGCACGGTTCTTATGTCACGGAGCACGGCCTTTGGCTCCCAAATTAATATTTTCGTTTATTCTATATTATCTCTAAGTGCTGCGAAACATGGTAGGTAATTTGAAAGGTCAAGGATTTCAGTAAAATGCTAATTTTAAAGCTCTATTTTCTAGTCCAACAACTCTAAATGACAGCCATAATGACGAGCGCGAGACGGTTCGTCAGCAAGACATCAGACATACGCGCCAGCACCGCGCCGTGTGCTGCAGCAGCGGCCGCGGCTCCTCGCCGCGCGCTAGCCACGGCCTGCACGCTCACCTCGTTGGGGATCTCGCCGTACAGGTCCTCGAAGCGAGAGGCGCGCTGCAGACCGCACTTCTGGCGCATCTCGTTGTAGGAGGGGATGCCGTGGTCGCGGCCGCGCTGCACGTTCAGCGCCACCAGGTCCATGCCCTGGGCGCCGCCCGGCGGCTGGAACAGGTGGTTCTTCACGTCTTCGATGACGCTGCGGGCAGGCGGACCGCGTGGCGTCAGTCGGTGCATTTGCACGGACACTTGGGTGGCGATCGGCGGATGCATACCTAACTGAGGAGCCCCTCAGTCACAGCAGACCTCTCGCCCAGCGACGGCATGCATACCTAACTGAGGAGCCTCTCAGTCACAGCAGACCTCTCGCCCAGCGACGACGGCGGGCCGTGTGCAGCGATTGAAACTCATTATTCACATACAGACACGAGTCAACACATGTGTGATGAGCGTTTCCACACAAGCACCGGTTTGCATGCGAATGTCACTTTCCATTACATCGGCCAGCAGCCACCACGCGAGTTACTGTAACGAGCGCGGCATACTGCGGAGACACTCGCTGACGGGACAGCACTGACTTCTCATCGAAGCGCTGCGAGCGCTGCAGGTAGAAGCCTCGCGTGACAGATTCCAGGATGTTGGGCCGCCGGCTGAGCAAGCTCGGGTTGTTGAGTACGTCGCGGAGCTGGATGGCGCCGCTCTGCGACCGGCTGTCGCGGAACAGCCTGTTGGCACGGACATCACGCGATGCTAGTACAGATACCGACCCGGGACTAGCTCCAAACAACCAACAGCTCGTGCGCAGTAAATACACGGCCGGTGGGTAGCTGAACCACTACCAAAAGGACGCAAGGACGGTGTCGTTACTTGTCCAGGGCAAGCTGCTGAGAACAGGCAACAGCTAACATCCGTTAACCCGCGAGTTATCTCGCCATCACCAGTCGCGAACACGCCGGGGCCGGCTGGCACAGAGCGGTTGGTCAGTAGAACAGGGAATGCGCCGCGCCCATACTGAAGCCGTTCCGCGAATTCCCGCTCCCAGAACTGGCCGTCAAACGGCTGCGCGATGAAGACATACACGAAAAACGACTCAGCTATCGCTGCGTCACGGAACAACCTGGCGGCACGATTCAGCATAATGCCACCCTATTAACGCATAATTACAAGCCGACGTTCCGCCCGCACGGGCCCGTTGCAACATCGGCTTGCCGAAGTGAAACGTGTCGTTATGCAGTCACGTGCATAATGAGGAAACTCAGCGTGGCCGGGCGAGCGGAACTGACTAACATGAGAGGGGGGGGGGGGGGGGAGCAGCCGGACCCGGGCCGGGGCGGCGACGGACCACTGCACACCGGCTGCGCCCCGTTTGGTCAGCTGGGCACGACGGCTGCCGCGTGCAATCCACTGCCGCGCTCCAAACTACCACAATGGTCGGAGATGGGAACAACGATCCGATCTGTTGATTCATTTCGCCTCACTTTAAACAACAAACCGTCCATGGGTCTCAATCGGCAATGCGGTCGGTGGGGTTCAGCGTGGTCATATAGCGTCCGCCTGGTACTGCGTTGACATACAGCTATGATGCCATTCAGTACAACGGCTCCAGACGAGAACGCTCCAGTCTCGTGAACCTAAGTGCCAGCGCACGGTCGGTCGTTTTGCCGCGGGAAAGTGTGACGCTCCACTTGGGCCGAGCATGAGACCAGGCACGGATGGTGTGCCTCACTCACTGGACCATGTCCTGGATGAGAGTGTGGCCGAACCGGAAAGCGGCCGTGCTGAACTCGTTGTTGATGGACGGGTTGATGTCGGGCCGGTAGTCGAAGGAGTAGCCGCTGCTCTTGGTCTTCAGGTCATACACCTCCATGAACTGGCGACCTGCCGGTGCACACGTGACAGCCATTCAACTGGTGTGGCGAATCCCGGTCGGCAGCGTGGTGAGCAATGCACTCAGGGGACAATTATGTAGCCCACCATCTCGAGGTCCTTAGCCATCCGGGATCCCTAACCGACCCAGAGTTTCTGAACTCTTCCTGTCCCGCAGATCAGGAGATCCCTTCGATGACCCCACGGGGCCTTTTGGGTCGGGTGGGCAGCGACGGTCGCTTCCTCCCAAGACCTCACCCGCGCCAATGCTGACAGCAACACGACAATTACTGTCTGGCGAGGGAGGGGGCAAGCTCTGCAGCGATTGCCTTTTCAGAGTAGCGCAAGGGTACGCTTATAGTGGCACAGTCGGCTAACAGGTATGCTAAACGAATCTGACAAAACAGACAGCTCTCCACGCACATACTTGGTAGCGAGTGAGACGCAATCGGGCACGGTGCTGTTACGACCACGTGCAGTGGTAAGCGCATGCGTCACAGCGAAGTACGCCGTCGCAGGTATCGAAATGCCAATCGCGCTCTGGAAAATTCAAGCTTAAATTAAATCAAAATGAGTAGAGCAGTCTGGGAGCCACAGTTAATGAGTAGAGCAATCTGGGAGCCAAACTAAAGCGTTGACCACAGCCGTTGACCAGCGCCGGGCCGCCGCGTCAGGCCACTGACCGAGAACGATGGGCAGCCACTCGTTGTAGTTGATGTGCTGCCACTCTGCGGTAACGATGCGACGCGCCTCCTGGTACAGCTGCTCGTCACTCAACTGGCGGCCGGCGCGACGCGACTGCTCGTCCAGCGCGCGCGCCACGCGGTTGTGCTCGCGCATCCAGATGGTGTGCATCACCGTCAACTGCAGGTTCTCGTTGACGCGCACGTCGCCGGCCTTGTAGCAGTCGGCGCCCGTCTCCTTGGCGAAGCACTCTTCCAGGTCGGTGGTCTCGAGCGGCAGCGTGCCCGGCTGCGACTGGCTCAGCAGGCCGCCACGGAAAGCGCGCAGCGCCGCTTGCTGCTCGGCGTCCGAGCCGTAGATGTGCGACGCGTCCATGTAGTGGGTCAGCGCGTTCATCTGCTCGGCGTAGCCGAAGTTGCAGTCGGGCCGCGGCGCCGGCAGCGAGCGCACGAAGTTGAGGCAGGTGCGGCCGAACCTGTGGCGGGACAGGGCCTGTCGGTGCGGCTCGGCAGCCGCCGGCTGCCCGGCTCATACTGCCGACCTGTGCTGCGCGTGCGCACTTAAAGAGTCGCACCACGCGCTATACTGCGGGGGCAGAGCTGTCGTAAGCGGTCGCAGGCGGTGCCAAATTATGAGGTGGGGGACAAAGCTAGTGTTCTGGGGTGAATCAGTGAACCGACAGCCTCGGGCCACTAGCAAGCCAAGAAAGGCCCCCTATCCCTCCTCCATCTCCATTAGCGGCACCTCTGGGTAAAAGACAGTACGCAGTGCGAAATAATTGAATTGCAGCGGTCGACAGCCGGGTCACACGCGCAAGGATCATACTGCGAGGTCACGCTGTGCCGGCGTACCGTGAAGGCATGCTGCAGAGATCTGGCCGCGTATGATACTGTGTGGGTTATACTGCGAGGATTATACTGTGTAGTGCGTAGTTCAACCACACGGCTTTTCACGTGCGGAATGCTGCAGAGCAATACTATGGACATTGTGGGAGGCCTTTTGCTGTTATACTGCACTGACCATGTCCGGTAAGAACAGGTGGACAGATGTGCCCGCACAGCGCTCGTCGCAATCGCAGGTGCGTTTCTCAGAAACATCCGACCGTACGCCCCGGCCCCGGGCGTGCAGCAATGGAATGCTGACAGACAACTGCGGACTCAGTATGAGACATAATATCTTAATGCAAACCCATGACGTCAAAGACGAGAGCAATCCCAGTTTTAGGCATCGTCGTCCACGACACACTGCGGGAGAAGTCACAACTCACTTGGAGAAGAAGGGGTCGAATTGAGAGACGGGGATGGGGAAGCACTGCGGGTGGCGCAGGTCCACGGGCAGGTCACGGCCGTGCTCGTCGCAACACTCGATGCCTGAACGGCCCTCTGAAACATGCACACAGTCGACGTGTGAGGTCACTTGACGGCGAGCGGGAATGCAAAGCGGCGCTGTCAAGGTCAAGCGCAACGACACGGCATTCGCCGCCTTAGCCTTGACCGTTTTGCGGAACAGTGTCATGATACCTCTCGTTCGTACATATACATAATACATCAAGATGTATGCAAGCGTTTAAATTGCAAAGCATAAATCCCGCTTAAACAAGGGCGTCGAAGTGTTATTCCGTGTATGCAGAACACTTCACTGCGTGAATGGGTGTTCAGGCTGGGCGGCACTTACGAAAGCTGTCTGTCTGCGTCACGTCAGCGGCAAAGCCAGAACTCATGTCATATAAAGTGGTGGGAGAAAGTTTCAGCATTATGGCGACGCACCATCAGCGTTCTTCACGGGTGAAGTGCACCGAAACACATGTATGAAGTCGGCCACATGACACATCCAACGTCACTGCTGCCGGCCTGCACTGACCGAGCCGGAAGATGGGCGAGATGGAGAGGTCGTGGTCCAGGAACTGGCCCCAGGTCATCACACTGATGGTGACGTCCGGATAGGGCGAGTTGGCGGTGCTGACCACGATGTTACTGACGTCCCGCGCCGACGGCAGCGCGCCGCCGTCGGACGCCACGCGCGGTGTGAAGATGCCGTTCTCGTACGCCGGCGCCAGGATACGCTGCAGCGCCGTGCGCGACATGCCCCAGGCGGCGTTGTTGATGTTGTTGCAACTGCCGTCAGCGCTGCGGTACGGCGTGCCGGCCGAGCAGCGCGGCGGACTTGGGCACGTCTGGTTGATAATAGTGTTGAGCACGCTGAACTGCTGCAGACCGAAGCCGCCCTGATCCGGAGTCAGGCCGAACCTGAGGCGCGGCCGCAGACTATTAGCAGACTGTTAGCCACCCGCCCAGCCTTCGCCCCGAACGCTCCCCTCGTGCGCTGCAGCAGCTCTGACGTCACGCATGGAGCCGATTAGTGAAACGCCGAACTTCGTTCAGACGTCCCGAGGTCAGATTTTATCGGCAGGTCGCGGCGGACTCAAACACTGCCACCTGGCAGGGGATTACCCTGACGATCGCACCCCATGCATGTATACTATCCGAGTGATGCATGTGCAGGACCCACATGTGACAGACGGTGACAAACCTGTCTGTCAGCAAATTTTGTATTCCGAAATCGCAGCCATTCCTTGGTGAAATACGGGCAGCAGGTCCGAGGTAGCCCGAAACTGTGCATACGTGACCTGTGTGCTGCTTGACTTCATCACTCAGCTAGAGCTACACCAGGTATTGCTAAAAGCCTGTGAAGTCGCCCGCTTGCGTTGACGGGCCTTATGTTTGACTAGAACGTTCAGAGTTAAGTGGCATGTGACACACGTCAACGGTGCCAGCGGCGTAACAGGCGCACGCAGCAGGCGGGTGGCGCGCGTCCTCCCGGGCCGACTCACTCGTTCAGCAGGCCGCTGCCAGCCTCCGAGTTGAAGAGCGCTTGGCTGCCGAGCTCCAACGCCTTCTGCGACGTCTTGAAGAAGTTGAAGTGGCCGGCATCGGGCGTGTTAGAGCGCACGACAATGTTGCGATCGAGCAGCATCCTGCCCATCTGGCGCTGCTGGTCCACAAACCTGATACCCTTGCGACAGGCGCCGTTCAGCTGGTTATTGTCAAAGAACCTGCAGCAGAGTAGCGAGCGTTTGCTTCAGTTGGTCTGGGTTAGTGAGCTGGTAGCAAGTGTAGATTGGAGGTTCTTTCCAGACTAATCATTGGCGCTTCCAGTGCCGCACATTCGCCAGATTGCATTACCTTCACTGTTCACAATGCCGCCGCATCAATCAATGATTTTTTTTGTTTGCTAAAACTCTTAAATGAGTGTGACATTTAATCGCAATTCGTGTGACAATTCAGCGGGGCAAAAGTAAGTGACAAACCGTTCATGAACGATAGAGAGGATGCGTCTTGCACAACGACAATGCTGCTGCTCACCTAATATCAACGTTCTTGAATGGCTTCGTGAACGGATTTCTGATGCGGTTTGCGGGTGATGCTGAAAACATGCATACAAAGTCACGATTACAGACACAGCAACGGAAGCAATGAATGTCAGCCAAGTGTGCACCGCTGACAGTAGACCACAACCAGCTACATCAGCTTCCCACACATTGCATCTCACACGCTGCGATTAGCAAACAGAAACCTCACTGCCTGCTGGATGGCAACCAATGTATCAATTTTAAGAGCCCCCTTCGAGCACTTCAGTCTATTACATGCTGCATGTTTACCTATCTGCCTGGGCTCCAAGATGTGTCCGAACGTGCGTCTAACAGTTCGTCGTTTTCATCGCCCAATTTACTAATTAAAGACCAAAGAATTCGCTCGGGTAACATGTGCAGGTAAAAGTGGGAAGAAAAGCAAAAGTGGGAAGAACGTTACCTTTAACGGTGTCACAAACCCCATCATAATCTTAAACTTACTTGAGGATTCTGATGCAAGCAACAGGAAACGCTTAATGGTCGCACAAACACTAAGTGTAGAGCGTGCAAAAATTGAAACAAGTCAGATTAAAGTAGGACCAATTTGGGATTAACAATTTAATTGACCATTAACGTTATTTGGAAGCAAAATTCCTTATGTTGAACACCCAAAGCTTACTTTGCGCCATATGCATGTAATTAAGATACAAATTTGGAAAAGGGGCTTATCTGTGAGTTAACAGGAATCGCACCATAAATCAAGTGTCACTGAATTTCGTTCCGTAGATCCGCTCCTCTCATCCTCAATCATTCGTGTCTGCCACCATACATCGCCGGAATAGATCTCTTCAAGAAATCAAACTCTATGTTATGCAACGTCGACTATCACTTCATGAGAAAAAAGTCCTCGGACGTGTCTAACCTAACCCTTCCCTTATCTTCATGAATGCATTGAGCGCTTGAAACACCTCTCATGTACTACACTCATTGGGCGCTTGAAACACCTCTCATGTACTACAGCCATTGGGCGCTTGAAACACCTTTCATGTACTACACCCATTGGGCGCTTGAAACACCTCTCATGTACTACACCCATATAACTGGTCTCAGGAAAGTTCATTTGGGCTGAACAAATATTACTCGGTGCCATCTTTGGCGAAAATCGGGTAGAGGGAATGTCCTAAACCGTAAAGGCACTTCTAAAATAGTATTTCAGGAGCTCCGGCCTACAGAATTGGGGAACGATTGAGGAACATCTTTGAGGCACAGAAAACGATAAGGAAATGTTAGACGCCCAGCTATACCAGATTATACTTTTAAACACTAGAATATGCAGGTGACCCATTAAAAATCCGACAAACGTAAAATGCAGTGCACCACGTATTCGTGTGGCGACGATCTTGTGAGCTCAGACAGATCGCATGTCCGTTACGGCGCATTTTTCAGCATCAGGACTGGCTGCACTATAGCTCCGCCGCTTAAGGTACTAACATTGTTACAAACTGGGCAATGGCTACTAAAAATTGTCGTAAACGGTACTCCGCTAACCAAGAAGGCATGCCAGTGTTCATAACAGAGCTGTGGCGTGATAACATTACGTCATCCGAGGCAAAGCTGTCTGATCGAGACCCACATATGGAAGAGTCGTTACCGATGACGACAGGAAAATGGCGGCTTGGCTGGGCCAACCCGCCACTTCAGGGGTGCATGCAGACTGTGCAGTGCGTCGCGCCGGACCATCAATGGCTTGTAACATCAGCCACTGTTGCCCAGCACGGGCCGATTGGAACTCAGCCAGTCGGCACCGAAGAGGTCACGACCGAACCGTTCTGAGGAGCGGTGAAGAAAGACGGTCGCGGCCCAGTTCTGGCAGTAAGAGACGACAGCGCCCTTGCCCAGGCGATGCAGTACAGGAGCGGCACTGTTCTGACAGAGGCGCACGTCGGCGTAGCCGCCAGGATCGCTGAGATACGGCCGTAGTAACTCTTGGGCATGTCTGAACAATATCTGTTTTGTCATTTAACAATAACCATTTAATTCTTTTTCATTTTGTCATCATAAAGCGTTGAAATGTTTGCATTTTTGACCCAGCAACCTTTCACCTGAGATTACGGTACTGTGGAGGCGGCCATAGCATCGGACGCGCCTTGTTGCGGCGTACGCCCCTGCCGTGACGGACGCAGCCCAGTCCTGGCAATGAGGAGGAAGGATGCACCCTCCTCGCTGTCTAACCTTGACAAGAGCCATGAGAGGAAAAGGCTGAATCCCCCCCGCCCCCATCTTCGTCGGATTCTTGTCGGCTTTTCCATGGCAGAGAAGCTAGCATAACGATTTCCATTTGCCTTTAAATGGAATCAAGCACGCCACTCGCAGACAAAATCTTAGGCTTGTTGAGCACAGAGAATTAGCAGGCTATTAAGCTGCGGGTTGAGCATCAGACAATGCGAAGAAATCGATATGCCAACACACATCATATGCAGACATTATTTCACATAGGAAGAAACGATCTAACATCACTTAAATTCCTACGAGGATTTTTTGCGACCTACAATCACCACGCAACTGAGGTTTTTCCAACTGTACGCCATCGAGAATCACAAAGAGGACGGACTTCGTCCTTCCCAGATCGAACTATCTCAGAGAACAACCGGTGCGCGTGTTTGATCATTAAGGTTTAACGAAACCCGCAGCATTTAAGAAGGCGTCGACACCTCCCACGCTGATTGCTGAGGGAACGACGAAACTCTGGGGCGGGTCAGGGTCGCCACCGCAAAGGGCAGCATCACCTTCACATGGCAGGATTGCCACCGCAGGGCGGGGTCACCATCCCAGAACACCAGGGGCCGTCGAGCGCACCACGGAGTTGTCCGATCGCTGGCTGTCGCCAGTCAGGATCGCACACCGACGCGGCCCGTCCTTCTTTGGCATTCGTAAACGGCAAGTTTGCAGGCAAAGCTGGGCTAAACCCAACCTGAGTGTAATTCCATCTAGCGGCCTTAGTTTAGATCTCTCAGTGGCGGCATGATGTCATGATCTACCGGAGTTACATCACTAAAGCCTTTTCCTAATGCTGCCGAAAACAGCTCAGGAAATACCGCTTAACCTACAAAGTAGAAATGTTGCGGCATATTTTCGTACCCGTGGTATATGGGCGATACAGTGCCGTTATGGTCCGTTGGTCCGTTCTGTACACACGGCTGCGGCCGGCGCTCTCGGCTCAAAAATTGCTTTAGAAGATTTGGTCTTATTCAATCGTTCAATACATGTATGTCGCCGTACCAGTTCCGCTGCGAATTTGGCGCCGTTTGCCGACGAAGACCAAACCTCAATGCAGCGGTGCAGGGTTCTGCCCCAGGGCCAACTCCCCGCTATAGGGCAGGATCCTACCCCACGACTAGCTCCCAACACAGGGAATGACCGAGCGTCAGTGCGGCATTGCAGGGTCTTGCCCCAAGATTAACTTCCCATTATAGTCCAGCGTCCTGCCCAAGGGCCAACTCCCCGCCTCAGGGCAGAGTCCTGCCCAAGGGGTAACTCTCCGCCTCAGGGCAGGGTCCTGCCCCGAGCCCCAGTGCAGCAGGGCGAGGTCCTGTCCTAGAGCTAACTCCCCGCCTCAGGGCAGGGTCCTGCCCTGAGCCCCAGTGCAGCAGGGCGAGGTCCTGTCTCAGGGCTAGCTCCCCGCCTCAGGGCAGGGTCCTGCCCTGAGCCCCAGTGCAGCAGGGCGAGGTCCTGTCTCAGGGCTAGCTCCCCGCCTCAGGGCAGGGTCCTGCCCCGAGCCCCAGTGCAGCAGGGCGAGGTCCCGTCCCGGGGCTAACTCCCAGCCACATGGAGGACCGAGTCTCAGTGCAGCAGGGCAGGGTCCTGCCCCAGGGCTAACTCTCTGTCACAGGGCAGGGTCACATGGCATCGCCACCGCTGCAGAGTAAGGTCACCCCCCCCCCCCTGTGGTAAGCCGTCCATGAGGGGGGGGGGTCTAAGTGGGAAGTGGCGGCGCATTATGCCCCCTCCCCTCCCCCTGCAGGTCGCTCACGTCTGGCGGAAGGTCAGCGTCGGAGGGGAGCATTGCTGGCGGCCGTCGCCACTGATCCCAGACGTCACGCGTGATTGGCTGAAGGTCATGGCGAGGAGGGGACGCCAGGGAGCCGACAGCGGTTCGGAGGTCCCGACGCCGGTTCAATGGCACTTTTGAATACCAGACGCGACTGGAAAAGCCCATTCTCTGTGACGACTCGCGAAGAGAATGACGGTGTTGCGTGACTCAGGATCACGCGATCCTTCACAGTCACGACTGAATGCCACCCCGCCACGGGCCACTACTCCGGGAAACTCCGACCAAATACCCGGCGGCGCCGAGCTCAGCCGAACACAGCTGCTCAGAAGAAAACAGCCTTCTCCATGCTGACGGTGCTTGGCGCGGCCAAGCGAGAATGAGTTGAGATGAATGAATGAGGGTATGACCTCGCCTGGAGGAGCCGTCTGTGGTGACGATGGCTGACCAGTGACGCCCTCCACGGCACACCACTCCGCGGACGCTCAGACCCGGCAGGCGAGGCCGGTATTCTACGCCCTCCACGGCACACCACTCCGCGGACGCTCAGACCCGGCAGGCGAGGCCGGTACGTTGCGTGGCAGCATCCTGGTCAACGGAGAACAGGACCTCAGGGGCAGGGGCGCGGCGGATGAGGCCGGGTCAGAGTCAGCTATGCTATGGGAATATGTCATGTGCCCAGATCAGTTGGAAGATAGGTTATATCCGAAGCAGTGACGAATGCGATCGGTCTAGCATTTGTGGGCGGTCGATACTCTTCAGTCACGGCACCGGTCAGCCCCCCCCCCCCCCCCCACACACACTTGTGCCGGGAAAAGATCACACGATGTCAGGGTGAAGAGTGGCTTTTTCAGAGGTGTTCAGACCAGAATACTGGACCTCAACCAGACTCAACCGGTGGGCCAAGCAAGGCCCGGCGCTGAGACCGGTCAGATTGACGGGGCCGACTTCGCGGCCGGTGACGGCGCGGACTCCTTGTCCGGTAACGGAAGGTATCCCTGGACCACCTGCCTGGGTCTGCAGCGG